CAACACATCTAAATTTACTGCTCTGTGACACTATTTTACAACCATTTTATCCTGCATTTTAAAACTCATCACAGCCACAACAAAGCCTGTTGCCCAACCTGCTAAAACTAGACTGATCGTTTTCCCAACTATTTAGTAAATGTTAACTATGCTATAAACACAAATTGTGTTTATACTTTGTGAAAGCTTCACTGTTAGAGTTCCCCAGCTGAGTTAGAGCTGAAATATGCTATTAACTCCCACCATGAACACAGCTAAGAGAGAGGCCAAAAATGCTTTCTCTGGGATAAGATATCAGATCTGCTACTGCTGTCATGAAACTGGGGTCATGTAAACTAAACATCCTAAGTTCTTTTGGAAAGCACAGAAGTCTCTCAAACTGTAAATATTTAAAAATAAAATCAGACTCATAAGAGATAGGTCTAAGATGCATAAAACTTACCCAAGGTTATTAATCTTGGGCAACATTTAAAAGCTATTATCCATAAAATAATTTATTCCATATGCCTTAAAAACTGAAAAGAATTATTTTCTCCCTATGCATAATCAGAAGTGGCACATTCAAATAACATACCAAATGCTGTGTCCAAGCTGATTCTTCACAGTTTTTGAAACTCCTCAGTTCATATGGAAATAAAATATCACCAATAGAAGGAAAGGTGCTGATAGAATGGAGAAAGCTGTGCTTCCTAATGCTAAACAGACAACCTTCACCTCACAAAAAAAGGCACCGTCTCGTCAAAGGAAGGAGTATGAAACAGCTGAACCATCTAAGGCTAAAAGCAAATCACTTGATGTGGGTTATTAATCAGATGGGACTTGCCTCGTGTTTTTTGAGCTATTATTGCTAATTTAAAAATCATTCGTCTTCCTTAAGTGCTTACTTCAAAGATCAGATTAGATGCTCTTTCGAATTTTCTTTAAAATATGGTTAGGTGCTTTGTAATAAGCATGGGGCAAAACTCAGGATGCTTCCTGAGTTTCTGTACAAAGCAGTGATGCATTCTCCAAGTCATATTTTGTCTTCCTGCTATTAACTTTCCTCCTCTCTTTGCTCTTATCCAGTGTTTACTCTAGCTGCACAGGAGTATCAGTGGAGAAATGGACTTTTAATGAGTAACTCTGAGTGCAGCTCAGACCCACAACCATCCTTTGTTACACTAAGCCAGAGACAAGGGGAATTTCTATTCTTCTGACCCAACTCTGACAAAATCCCTACAGATCAGCCCAAGATACAACTGATTTTCTATGGATTGTGTTTTAGCTCTTATAAGTTGCTTGCCCAAATGACTTAGAACTGATTCTACTTCTTTTTTTTGTTGGTTTTTTTTGTTCCCTCCATTCTTGGATAGCTATGGCAAAAAGAGAGCAGAATTTGTGATAAGAAGGTGCTGTGAATTCTCTCCAGAAGAGCTGGATGACATTTATCTATGCTACATGACTCCTTGCCTCTTCCACACAGGCAACCAAAAAAAAAAGACCTTCCATGGCAATCTCACCATTGGGCTCAAAACATGGGGCTCAAGGAGTCAGCAGGGTCACAGCATAGCTCTGCTGGCAAATTTCCCACTGGAAAGACATTTACTGCTTGTCAATTGAACAGCAACTTCCCTCTGCTGTAACCTCCTTCAGTAAGAGACACAAGTACAAGGATCAGAGTCAATTCCAGTGCTACTAAAACGGTCTGAGGGAAGAAGAGGAGGATGAAGGAATGGTCTCTGCAGGATGAGTACTGCACTGCTATGCCAGCAGAGATCCTGGATCTCTTGCCTTGCTTCTCCTGGCTGCAGTTCCCTTCCCCCACTGGCTGCGACTCAACCCCTTCTCTCTTGATCTACTCCCCTCCCCCTGAGATTTGCCTTTGAATTATGCAAGCTTTGCACTCCCCAGGGTTTATCTGCCAAAAGGTAGCATGTGGCCCATGGTTTGCATTTGAGTTTAAAATTTTCTATTACAGCAGTCAGATCCTTTCAGAATACTTTACTTCCTTTATTCCCATAGGCAGACAGAATGGCAGGAAAAAATTGTTCACAGCAGTATAAGAGGATGTAAAAGTTCTACATTTTCAGTTTGGAAAAAAAAAAAAAAAAAGAAAAAAAAAAAAGAAAGGTGGAATATGGTTTTAATCAAGTAGTTTTCCTTCCTAGACGAGTACTTCCTTCTTGTAATATATATAACCTGACTGCCTATAAAAATAAAGGTGCCAGTTGGAGTCATTTAGGAGACCTAAGGAAATTCTGCATTAACCTACACCCCTCCACTCCTTAGTTCCTTCCACTATTGTTCTGTGGGTGGCCTCTTTGATGAGTTAGGTCACCAATATCCCAACATCTATCTGTGAAGATCCTTCAGAAACAGATGCATCATAGGCTGCTCATTACTGATGCAGTCCAGGCTTAGCTTGGACTGTCTGTGTGGGGAAATTGCCTTGGTTTGAGCATGTGCTATTATTTCCATATGATACCTAAAAGCCTCAATAACTTGCAGCTCTCAGAGCACACAGAAGCTTCTCCTCGGGTTAGGTTTGCAAATAAAAATACATCTTTTTCTGCTACGACTGTCAGGATTTAAAGACCCAAACCCGGAATCTTATTGAGAGGAAAAAGCCCAAAATATCCTTTTTGAAACCAAGAAATCCAGAGTAAAAATGCCTAATAAACAGATACTAAACCTGAGGTGCTGTGCCTCCCTAAAAATACTGTTCATTGTCCAGATCAGAAACTCATTGGGCCTCTGACCAAGAATTTGGTGGAGAAAAGACAAAATATTTTCTGGCAAGCTGACTGAAGGAGAAAAATAAATGCTGATTGAAGCTGCTTGGCAGTACAGAACGTTAGCACAGGTCCTCAGGGAGATGGATTAGCAAGCAGGAAGAAGGTGAGGCTGTCAAAGGTGCATGATAAATTCATTTAGCACATAGATATAGAATGATTATGCACATAGATATACACACAAACAGATTTTTCATTACTTTCATCCCATAAGTACAAGCAGGATAAGTCACCATTGCTGATGATAGTCATTAAATCTCTGCACTGTCAATATTACACCAGAGCTGATCACATGTGCCATCTCAAACTGCATATACATATTGACATAAAAACACATGTAAAAAGCAAGGGATGCCTGACTAAACAGGAATCCTTTTCCTGCTTTAGTGACCTGCTTAAAAATACTAAATAGAGACATACCAGTGGACCAATCTTTAAGTAACTCAGAACCAAAGTGCTACAAGATCCCACTCATTCATCATTAGCGTTGGACTCTATAACCTTTGAGGTATCTTCCAACTCAGCTGATTCTATGATTTTGCCACCTGCATTGCTCAGTACATACTTTTGACACCATGAGTATTGTTTCAAAATCCTGCTGCTGCTAAGAGACTCCACTACTATCAATTGAACTACACTACAACTCTCCTCTCCTGTTCTCATTTTCATAGGCCACTCAATTCAGGCAGTGTAGAACAACTCCAGAATAAACACAGTAGCAAAGTACAACAAAAAAATGACAAACCCAAAATATTTCATAATAACATGTATCATTTATAGCTACACAAAGTGGATGCCTCTCATACTTCCAGACACATCTGTAACTCCCCTGATCTTAACTTACTTTTTTCAGGCTACAACACAAGTAGAACAGATCACAATTAATATGATAGTAGAACTGCTCTAGGAAAATTAGAAACTCCACAGAAATTGTGTCTTGGGCCTGCAATTTTTATTAGTGTTACTTCAATTATTAATATCATAAACAATGGGTCAATGATGGTTCATTTAGTAACAAAAATAAGGACAAATTACACACAATATTCAGTCTATATTTCTGCCCATACTTAAACCAAGTGTTTCAAGAGTCTAATAGATACTCTTACAATGTAGGAATAATTCCTTGTCAGTGTTCATTTTATCAATGAAATGAAAACATGACAGGGTGAACATCTAATACTCTTGAGTCAATAACTTTTTCAAGCCCAGATGATGATATTTTGGTGAGACACTGGCCCAGGTTGCCCAGGGAGGCTGTGGCTGCCCCAACCCTGGCAGTGTTCACAGCCAGGTTGGCTGAGCCTTGAGCAACCTGCTCTGGTGGGAGGTGTCCCTGCCCAGGGCAGGGGTTGGGGCTGGGTGAGCTCTAAGCTCCATTCCAACCCTTAAATTCTATGATATTTTTCTTACAAGCATCACAACAAAGTGCCTCACTGTCCCTTTGCTTAGGTCAATTAAATGTTGTTACGATGCATTCTGCAGACTGATGGGAACCATCCCTGGAGGTTTTCAAGCTGAGACTGGATGTGGCATTTAGTGCCATGGTCTAGTGACCACAGTAGTGTTGGACTTGATGATCTTGGAGGTCTTTTCCAACCCTGTTGATTCTATAATTCTGTGATTCTATGAAATCTTTAACCCCACACTATCCTATGAAATACTTCAGCAAATAGATTTTCTGAATGATGCTGAGTCAAACTACTGATCTTTCCAAGGCTAGAACTTTTACTTTTGCATATGAAAAATACAGAACAAGTGATTTATATTTGATAGTAAACCAAATTAAAATACTGGAAGCTACAAAATGATGGTGCTTAATGTGTACTACATATGCAAGGTTGCACTTAAAAGGGAATTGTTGAAAGCACAAAAGCAAATTCAGAAGTGCAAGGCAAGTCAAGGTTGCTCACTGTCTTCTGCCACTAAGATCCAGTACTAGAGAGCAAAATGACTGATCTCAGCAACTGAAGCAAACCTTGAACATTTATTTTTATCCTGGCGTCCAGTTTGGGCTGAACCCAGGTGCACAAAGTTTAAGAACAACTTGCAAGCTTGTTCTATTAATTTTGCATGCTATGACAACTGGTTCAGGCACCTTGCATTTGTCTGGCCTGGAGCCAAACCACAAGAGAATGCAAAGAAATCAGACATCCACTGGAAGCCTTGAACAATGTGGAATCTTCGCAGCTTCAGCACTGCAGTGGTTAAGGAAGATTTTCCTATACTTACCTCTCTCAATACAGAATCCGTTATTGAACTTAAATTAACAGCTCCTTCATAAGTCAAGTAGTAGAATACATTCAGGGACCTGACAGCCTCTGGCCCTTGCTGTTTGTAGCCAAAAATCAGATCAATCCACTGGTGAAGTTGGCAGGAAACAAACTCACTTTCTAACGCCTGTGAAAAAATCACACACAAAACACATCAACTTGAGTTTGCCACGTAGTCGACATTTGGTACCAAAAACATTTGGTTGGAGTAGAAGCTTTTTTTTTAACAGCACACGGAATTATCTTAACAAGGCTAAACACAGAATTGGCAACAGCATTTTAGCCATTCTACCCAAGAAAAGGTGGGGCCTCTGATAGATGCCAGAGTCTCATGCTCTACTTCCT